GGAATTCTTAGACTACAGGTTGACAGATAAGAGCTAGCCGATTTTGTTATCTCTAATACTTTGTACTTGAGTTGGCTTGAGTTGGTGAAAATAATGTAGTTGTTTCTTAGTATTACTTCTTTCTTTGACTAGCTTTGAAAGAAGATACCTACAACACCTGATAATAAGCAGGTCATTTGATCCCTTATTAAACTCTTGTCCAGTTGATCCGATTTGAAGACATAGCTCTGCATCTATGCTATCCATCTCCACACCAAAATGATCTGCAGTCAAAACTACTTCCACAACTCTGAACGGATCAGCTAGAGCCCCTGCAACTAACCAACACAACACCATCCTAGCTCTCCTGGTCCAACATTGGAGGCTCCTTGGAGATGAGAAGATGATTATGACAATGATGATGCTGGTGAGGAGTCAGATGATCACTATGATGAACCCTAGTTATGGAGGGGGTTTGTTGGACCCTACCTTACACTCCCTAAAAAGGAAGTAGGCTATATCGGCCCTGCACCAAGGCAAATCAGACAATCCCTGCAAGAAACATCTGCCTCTGATGCTGTCATATGAAAAGTCTAGTCTGGAGAAATACCAATACAAAACAATCATTACCATTTGTCTGTAAGGACTGCTCTGACTTCATCCTAAAGAGCTTGTTCCCTGCATGTAGATCATTCAAAGTCAATTCGCTGTGTTATCTGCTTACTCTGCAGTCTTTCTAAGCACTAACATGATGTCTATGTAACAGCTAGAAAATACGGCAAGCTGATATGGATATTCTCATGGAGTCTTGCTATTTGTCATTGAACTCTATAAAGTCAACGTGATTTCTCATCATCATCAGATGGCATCAACAATCAGCAAAATAACACCATTCTCTATCCCTAATACAGCCTGCATTCTGAACCAGCTCAGTATTTAGCCTCATTTTGACATTTATAGTGACTTATTAAAATCCTTTTGTTCAATATGAAGCCCTTCTTGATTGTTATTGTGTTCCTATTCGGTGCCGCGATGGCTATCCCTCTCGAAGATCGTACTTTATCGAACAATCTAGCTCCCCGGGTATGGGAAACATTATCCCTCCTTCAGTTGTCATGCAGCTTTGTCAAAAGTAAAGAGGTGACTGCAGATATAGTGCTGACAGAGACATGCAATGTCTAGCAAGTAAGCAGTGATCATTATCTAAACATTTGGACTAAGGGCTGACAGAAATATGAATAGGACGTGAGTCACAACCCTTACAGAAAGAGAAAGGATATGATTACCTAGACAGAGAGCTGATAG